CTAATTTTTTTTCTTTAAATTTTCTTGGTTTGAATTTGCCTATATTCAGTTCGATCTTATACTGCTCTGCTCCTCATAAAGGGTAGTCTATGGACCAGCAGCATCAACATTAGCTTGTTAGAAATGTAGAATCTCAGGCCTTATCCCAGACCTATGGAATCAGAATTTCTATTTTAATAAGATCTCCAGATGATTTATAAGCACATTAAAGGTTGGGAAATACTGTTATAAAGGAAATAATAAAAATGACTCCTCTGTTGGTACCAAGAACCTTCTATATTATTGGTTGACTAATAAGCCTTCCTTGGCCCACAATATAGAGACACATTTGTCAGATAGAAAGGTTCAGGGAAAGCTAGAGAACATAGTTTAAGCAGGCACATATTCTCTCCCCAGTTGGTATACCTTCCATGATAAAAAAAAAAAAGGACCTTGCTCCTTAGAATCACTTAAAAGCTCTTTCACATATTGACCTCCCTGAGACTCTATACAGGCTTGCTCCTATACTGCTGCAGATGATCACCAGCCACTCATTGTTCAGTGACATTTATTTAGAGTATTTGTGCAGAATATTGATAAAAGCATTTTGCATATATGTGCATTTGGGGGGGAACAGGAGAAATGAGGAAGATTGAACAGCAGAGGATTTCAAAAAAGAAATAAATGTAGTAATCCCTACTTTGAAGGAGCTCGTAATCTAGATAAAATATACACATTTATGGAATTATTTAAGAAAATTTACACAGCCCAATAGTAATAAGTCATTTTGCAAACTTCCCAACTAATTATTATTAGAATGCCAAATTCATTTCTTTATTCTTTTAACAAATATTTATTGAGCATCAACAATGAACTAGGCACTCTGCTAAACAGAATAATGACATAATATAAGTTATATAGAATTAAAGCAGAGTTTCTAAATATTCTTTATTTTTATTTATTTATTTTTTGAGACAGAGTCTCACTCTGTTACCCAGGCTACAGTGCCATGGTGTCAGCCTAGCTCACAGCAACCTCAAACTCCTGGTCTCAAGCAATCCTCCTGCCTCAATCTCCCGAGTAGCTGGGACTACAGGCGTTTTTTTCTATTTTTAGTTGTCCGACTAATTTCTTTCTATTGGTAGAGATAGTGTCTTACTCTTGCTGAGGCTGGTCTCAAACTCTTGACCTCAAGCCATCCTTCCATCTTAGCCTCCCAGAATGCTAGGATTACAGGCGTGAGCCACCACACCCAGCCTCTAAATAATCTTAAAAAGGTGAATGTTTGTTCAAGTTTTGAAGAAAATATACTTGGATCTGTTGGAATATATATAGCAAATATGGAATTTTGGTTTGGAAAATATTATTTATTTTTCATTCATATTTATTTTTCATTTCATTTATTTTTTCCGAAAAAAATTCTTAGGAACCACACTCATTCATTTATGGAACATTTTGAATACTTGACATATTGAACATATATTTAATACCTATTGTACAGCAAGTGCTAGAGATTCTCCTAAGACACATAAGCAAATAACTACAAATACATCTTGGTTTTGGAAATGAGTTCTCACATGTTGCCCAGACTAGTCTCAAACTCCTGGGCTCCAGCGATCCTCATGCCTCAGCCTTTTGAGTAGCTGGGACTCATGGTTTGTGCCATTGCGCCTGGCTTGCAAATACATTTTAGAGTTATTTCAGGCTACACTGGGGAAACAAAAGAGGATGTAGGTAACTCTTAAGGGAAGGGGAGTTAGATATAACAACATAGAGAAGGTGATACTTCAGCAGAGTCTTAAAAGCTAAAATGTCTAATCAGAAGGCAAGATAAGAAAAGGATACTTTCTGAAATAAAAAATTAAATTGTATTAAATTTAAAAAATAAAAGAACACTTTAGTAGAAGTAGCATATGTCATGGAGATGAAATATGAATCTTCTTGGTACTCTCAGGGAACTATAGTACTAAAAGTTAAGAAAGGCTACATTATAAAGTGTGAGGAAGACATGAACCAGAGGTCTCTGCATATAATGTTCTTTATATACATAATAATGGAGCATTTCCACTTCCTATCTTTCTCTTTTCCCTCTCTCCATCTTCCAGCCATATCCCCCTTCCCCTCACATACCCCACACCCCTACTAAGCTCTTACTCATCCTTCATATTCAAATCAGAAATCCTTTCATCAGGCTTTCCCTGACCCTTCAGTGTAGTTCACTAATTGTATACTCTCATAAAACCATGTTCCTTTCCTTAGAGTGGTTTTCTTAATTTCTATTTATGTATTCATTAATGTGATTATTTGAATTAATCACATTAATGTGATTAATATCTATCTCCATCACTGTATCAGTGGCTTCAAGAATTTTGTTTTAACCACATCCATGGGAAGAAATATATTAAATGCATTATGTATCACACGCCAGTGATATACACATGTGTATAACATGATACAATACATATAAATGTACATACACATGTACATATAAGTAAAAACAAGTTTCATGAAAGAAGAGTCATCCTTACCATGTGTGAAGAAATATATTTTCTATCCTTTTTCATTAAAAAATTATGATTTCTATTAAAATTGTTTATAATTAAAATTGTGTTTTAATTGATTTCATAGCCTACATCCATTTGTGATCCAGAGTTTTAAAAACCTTATAACTGATGGGTACTGCATTAAAATAGAAACAATGTCTAGTTTTACTCCCTACTCTGTCCCTGGTACCTTGTATGGCACTTGGGGCATAAAAGACACTCAGTAGTAATTTACTGAATGAATAAAAGGAAAGAATAGGTTTAAAAGGTAACATTTTAAAAGTGTGATTATCCCCATTTTTATCAACAAGAAAATTGAAGGTTAGAGAGGTTTGATAATTTTGCTGAAAGTCATGAAGCTAATAATAGGCAGAACCAGGATTCACATTCACTTTTGTTTTACTCTAAAACCATGCTAATTTCCCTTTTGTGCAGGAAGTAAAAAGAGAAAATGTTTAGGTTGTTATGGGAAGGGGTAAGCTGATAAGTATTTCTCTACTAGAGAAGTAATTAAAAATAAGTTTATTCACATTTGAGATACAGCTAGTGTGGAACTCTGAAAGATAATTGATGTTTCCATTTTCTATAGTAAGAAAATCATTTGCTTTGAAAGACTGCAAAAATAAGTGGGGGATAGATAAAACAAGGCTGGTAAAATGTTGATAAGTGTTGAAGGGATATGTTTGTTTCAATTTTTCTAAAATCTTCTATGTTTGTTTCAATTTTTTTTTAAGTTTTTTTAAAAGAACCCATGGGAGTAGCTTAATAAAAATAGTATTGTAGGAAAACTCTTCTAGTTTTCACAAATTGAACACTGAAAAATATAATAGAATTCCAGAAAACATAAGAAAGCCAATAATTTATTAACTGAGATAATATCTATAAAGCACAAATACAATATCTATTGATAGAAGAGATCTAATGTTAATTTTTGTCCCTTTCCACATCAGGTTAACGATCAAAGCCATCTGTGTAAGAAAGTGACTCATCATAAACAGTATTTTATATAAGTCTTGAGAAAAAAATACCATTTTGTGGTTACATAAAGTAACAATTAATTTCATATGCCCTTTTTAAGAGGGAAAATGTTTTTATTATTTATCAGTATGACTGCAAATATAATTAAAATATTCATAAATAAGGTGTTAAGTTTTCTGTATGTATGCCCCAAACCCTGCTATATGCAGATGACACAGTCACGATCATAAAATTAATCAATTAGATAGACCTTGCCTTGTCAGTAGTTTTGGTCTGAAAGCCACATTATATGTCAAGAAAACCCTCTTGAATTTTCAAGAATATTTTTTCATCCAGCCACTATTATACTGTAGGAACAAATAAGGTTTGATAAGAATTTTTTCCATCCTGGTTCTGAAAATGTTTTTTTTTTTTCCAATTTAAAAATAAACATCCGGCTGGGCGCGGTGGCTCACGCCTGTAATCCTAGCACTCTGGGTGGCCGAGGCAGGTGGATTGCTCAAGGTCAGGAGTTCGAAACCAGCCTGAACAAGAGCAAGACCCCATCTCTACCATAAATAGAAAGAAATTAATTGGCCAAATGATATATATAGAAAAAAATTAGCCGGGCATGGTGGCTACTCGTGAGGCTGAGACAGGAGGATTGCTTGAGCCCAGGAGTTCAAGGTTGCTGTGAGCTAGGCTGACGCCATGGCACTCACTCTAGCCTGGGCAACAAAGCAAGACTCTGTCTCAAAATAAATAAATAAATAAAAATAAACATCCAATGGAAAATGTGATGCACCCCTGCCTATACATTCTGATTCAGAAATGGCATTTTGATCCATTAGTTTAAAAAAAAAAAAACTGTGCTGGGAATTAAAAGACTAGGTATTAGTCCTAGCTTTACCACTAACTAAAATTTGTGTGAGGTACTTAACCTTTTTTCTACCATAGTTCCTTCATTCTGTAACTTATTTCCTTCAACTGTCAAATTAAGAAAGCATATATATTTCTTCCTACTTCACTTGGTTATTATGAAAACCAGACTGGGAGATAAATAAGAAAATGGTATGAAGTAGTTAAAAATTTTATAGAAAATGGGGAAATATGGATGTATATGTACAAAGTGATATAACCATATATAACCCATAAGTGTGCAATCACACATCAAACATACATATACATGGATAAAGTGGCATTTATTTAGGAGGATAGGCTAAAAGAACCTTTTATTAGAAAAGCACAAGTATGCAAATTTGGAGTGACAGGAAGACCATCTCCAAGTGAAACCAACAAAGGGCAAAATACCACTTGTCAGTATGTGTGAGTTGTGGAAACCAACAAGCAAACCGGTAGTAACAAAGCCATTATCCAGTCTAGGAGATCAGAAAAAATATTTCACTTCTCTGAAGCCTTATCAAATAATGTGAGTCAAAGTTTAGAATTCCAATACTAGGTTCTTGTTCCTTGCTATAGGTCCATACTGATGATTGTTCTTGTTTCTGCTCCATCTCACAGCTGCTGATGGGCCAGGAGATCGTTTCATCATTGGGGAATCCCAAGCTGGTGAACAGGTGAGATTCATAGGCCTGAAAGGCACTGAAGATTTCAGCTTCACATACTTTGCGCATCTAATTCTAAACTTCTCCTACCAGTGTAGTAGAAATCTTAGAGAGGGATTAGTCAGAAGGTCATGAAAGAGATGGAAGGATGATTCCTATAAGAACCAAAAGAATTATTTCCTAATTTCAAGGATCTACATCTACTAATATATAGCTTAGTGTTGTTGGTACGTCTCACAGACGTGCCCCAAAAGTATTTTCAGCCCTGTTACTAGGTGATTCTTTTTTCCAAAATTAAAAAAATGGTGTTCTCAATAGAACTACAATTTTTAGATGATCTTCTCAGACTTTTCTCCAACTTGTGTTACAAATAGGGAAATTTAGAAGTAGCACATTATTTAACATCTCTAGCTAATTATTTAGATTAATTTTCTCATTTGGGACCTAGCCAAGGAACAGGTATATATATATTTCTATTAAGAAATGAAGCAACAATGGACTATAATGAAAATACAGTACAAGTCTTTTTATTTAATACTTTTGAGAACAGTAATTAGCCATTTAATTGACAATCAGTTAAAGTGGGAAATTATTTTATATCTTCAAAATAAATACAAATTTAACAAATGAACAGTTATTTGTCAATAATTTAATGGAGTCAAGGCTACTCTTTTGATAAGTATGTTATTAATATTTGAATTTCTATCAGGTCTTTCTTATATAAACCATACCCAAAAGGCATTGTTGGTGATTTCCAGTTTGGGTTTCTTTAAAGTGAAGAAAAACTTAAGGACTCTTGCAAATCCTAGAAGTATAGAATCCTTCTAGATTTTTATTATAGTTTTATTCTCTTTTACAGTTGCTTCACCAACACCTAATTTGACAGCATTTCCTTTTAGTAGCATTTTTAATGGCAGTTTTCAAAAGGTTTTATTTAATTATTATGGAAAAAACTCTTTTCACATTCATATATCATTGGTATGTGTAATTTTTACTTAAATTACATATTCAGTAACAACTTTTGCCACAAACTGGCACAAACAAGTTTGGGAACAAATTCAACTGATTACTGGAGTAGTAATTCACAAGTATACAAGAGAAAAAAGTATGCTGTGGCCACTGTTATGTTTAAGAGGAAATAGAGAGCATCTGTCAATCCAGTGAGTCATAAAGATTGGTTAGAAGAGCAACTACCTTATTAAATAGAACCAGAGAAAGACCAAAGCACTTCTCTCCTCTTCTCTCTGCTCCCCTTCAAGGTTTTCTCTTCCTGGGATAGAATACTTAACTGTTACTACCAAGTACCAATAAGCACTATGTAAAAATAAAGCTGGCAAAAAAATAAATAATAATTTTTAAAAATGAAGGTGGCAGTTTTGGCAAAAGCTCGGTCCCAAGCCTTTTCTTCCTTGGCTTAGCATGTAGTTTCATATGTACTAACAATAGAAAAGGGTTAAGGAGATATATAGGAGAAGGATCGTGTCAATAGTGGTAACCCTAGATCCCTCATTCTAGCATCCAAGAATTAAGAAGACCCATATACAGATCTCTGAAGACAAGCTGGCACTATAGTGATGTAGATCATTGTACATGTTGCACACAGGCTAGCTTTAGTCCCCATGACTATTTCCCTGACAAAAAAAAAAGAACAGCTAGTCTTGATTCTTTTTCTTTTTTGAGACAGGGCCTCGCAATGTCACCCAGGCTAGAGTGTAGTGGGTGATAGCTCACTGCAACTTCAAACTCCTGGGCCCAAGTGATCTTCCCACCTCAGCCTCCCAAGTAGCTGGGACTACAGGCATGTGCCACTGTACCCAGCTGATTTTTTTTTTTTTTTTTTTTTGAGACAAGGTCTCGCTCTGTTGCCCAAGCTGATCTCAAACTCCTGGGCTCAAGCGATCCTCCCACCTCAGCCTCCTAGAGTGCTGGGACTACAGGTATAGGCCACCATGCCTGGCCTTGATTCTTTTCTATAAATAATTTATTTTATGATCTCAAAACTTATTTGACTTCCTGATACCTACCTATGTCCATAAGCAATGAACATCTAAAGCTTTTTTTTTTTTTTTTTGACAAAGCCACAAAATAGCAATTATTCAAGGAGTACTTGTCTGATCTTCAACTGAGTCTGTCCAACATATATCAAGCACACCTACTGCATGTACCAGGTACTAGGTTCTGGGGGTATAAAGTAAATTAAGACATAATTACTATTCTTAGTTTACATCTAGTGGAGGAGATGAGTATAAACAACTAAATATAATACAGTATATTAGGTGTTAAGCTAATGGTATCAGTCAAGTGCTCATGGAGCACCAAAGAGAATGTTGAGCATTTCACCCTAGGAGAGTTAAGAAGATGACATTGGAGCTGGGCCTAACAGAGTTTTCAAAAGCAGAAATGGGAAAGGGATATTCTGAGTAAAGAGAACAGTGCAAATCAAAACCCAGAGGTGTTTTTAAAAGTTGCATGGATTGCTTAGAGAAATGCAAATAGTTGTGGTAGCCACAGCCTACTACTATACATAAGGATAGGTTACAGTAAATAAGAGTAGCCTTATTTACTATTGGTTAAAACCTCCAACTGTGAAACTTAAAACAATAGTTTCTAACTTTTTATAAGTTTTTATAAAAGTTTGATGTGAAAAAGATAAAAACTATGTAAGAAAAGGGTTTTTCTTCAAATTACCTATAATATCCTTTATCTATAACTGATGGATCACACATACTTTATAGAAATCTCAGAGATCTTGCAAGAGCTGAATTGCTTACTTATTAAAGATGCATACACTTGAGCATTAGGATGCCATCGTATAAACTAGGCAGTGATTTAAAAATGTTGTTTAGAGTACTAAAATACTTGACATTAAAATCACTTATAGTTTGGCAGTGTTCCACTGTTTAGCACTGTACACTTTCAAAGAAAATATTATGTAATTATAAAGGGCTACCATTAGGCAAAGCGCAAAAAATCCAACTCAATACATTTATTAATGGAAAGTCAAGATTTTAACATTTTTACTGTCTACAAAGCATCTAAGGAATATCAATAAAAATAAAAAGGATATAATAACTACTATTCTTAACAATCTAAGGGCAGTATTTCACAGCTTGCTGGAATATACCATTTCAGTTGATTTGATTCAATTGCAGGTTATATGTCAACTCTAAATGAGTAAGTGTTTTTATATATCTAAAAATATCTTTAATATTGGGTTTAATACATGTGAGCTGATAGGAATCTTTCACCAAACATTTAGAATTGCTGATCTTATAGAAGAACCAAATTTCTTATTTAATAACCACACCAAAAAAAAAAAAAAAAAACCCTTAAAAGTTGGTTTAAGCCAAAAATAGAGAAAATTGGAGGTCCAACCACAATAAAACTTAAATTTACAGAATATTGTACCTTGAATCTGACTAAATTGAGGCTGGGCTGTAGGCTAACACAATTCAGTTTAAGAAGCAACTTCCCTGAAATTCAGTTTAAAGTTTTCTCTTCACCTTAGCTCAAAAGGCATTTTCAGCAAAAGAAAGATGTCTTTAGGTCTATATAAAATGTTATTGCTCCACAGGCTCAGAAGATAGTTTGGTCATTAACATCTGTATTAAAAAAGCATCTATCACAACAAAACTTTAAATGCTTTTCATCAAAAATCACTGCGCTGCAAAATAGTCATATATAGTGGATTAAGAGATGTCCAAGACAAATAACTAGTATCTGAAACTGAAAATCTAAGATTTCTTAAATGCACTGGGTCCTAAACTTTTTATTTTAAATCCTAAGGATTGGCCAGGTGCAGTGGCTCACATCTGTAATCTTAACACTCTGAGGCCGAGGCAGGGGTATATACGCTCAAGGTCAGGAGTTTGAGACTACCCTGAGCAAGAGCGAGACCCCCCGTCTCCAGTAAAAAAAATAGAAAGAAATTAGCCAAACAACTAAAAAGTATATAGAAAAAATTAGCCAGGCATGGTGGTGCATGCTTGTAGCCCCAGCTACTTGGGAGGCTGAGGCAGAAAGATTGCCTGAGCCCAGGAGTTTGAGGTTGCTGTAAGCTAGACTGATACCACGGCATTCTTAGCCTGGGCAACAGAGCAAGACTCTTATCTCAAAAAAATGAATAAATAAATCCTAAGGATTATTTTGGTGGAAAAGTTACATTAATATTTAACAACTCTGAATAAGCCTGGAATGTCTTTTGTTCATATAACCAAATAAGGAGATATGGGGTACATAGCTCAATGCCAGATCTAATTCCAAGTATCTCTTTCCTGTGACTGTGAATAACTGTGGGGGAAAAAAAACAGGGAGAAGGCTAAAGTTGTAAGCCTGGAAGGAATCTATATTTCATGTAGTTGTTGTGATAAGGTGAGATAATGCATATTTGTTCATTCTGGAAATATTTATTGACTAATAATTGACTATGTGTTTATTGACTGTGTGCCAGACACTTCCTTTTTATGTTTTCTTTGTGTGTGTGTGTGTTTGTGTGTATACATGTGGTTTTTTTGAGGGGTGTTTCTTTTATTATTTTTAATTGACACATAAAATTGTACATATTTATGGGGCAAAGTGTGATATTTCAATACATGTACATAATGTGTCATGATCAAATCAGGGTAATTAGCATGTTCACATCAAACATTTCCATTTCTTTGGATTGGGAACATTCAAAATGCAATCTTCTAACTACTGGAAAGTATACAATAAATTGTTCATTATAGTTGTATTATAGAGAAATAAGAGAACTTATTTCTCTTATCTAGCTATACTTTTCTGTTAACCAATTTTTAGCTATTTCCCACCCCTCCATCCCTGCCACTAGTAATCACTATTCTACTCTTATATGAGATCAACTTTTTTAGCTTCCACATATAAGAACATGCTATCTAGCTATAATTTTGTGTCTCTCCCTATCCTCACCTCCTCTTAGCCTTACCAGCCTCTGGAAACCAGTATTCTACTCTTTACTTCTTTAAATTGAACTTTTTTAGCTTCTACATGAGTGAGAACATGCAGAATTTATCTTTCTGTGCCTGGCTTATTTCACTTAACAGTGTCCTCCAAGCTCATTCATGTTGCTGCAGATGACAGAATTTTGTTCTTTTTATAGCTAAATAGTATTCCGTTGTGTATATATACCACATTTTCTTTATCCATTAGTCTATTGACTAATGGATTGATTCCATATCTTGGCTATTGTGAATTTTGTTGTAATAGACATGGGAGTGCAGATATCTCTTCAACTCACTGATTTCCTTCCTTTGGATATATACCCACTAGTAGGCTTGCTGGATCATGTGGTAGTTTCATTTTTAGTTTTTTGAGGAACCTCCATACTGTTTTCTGTAATGGCTGTAATAATTTACATTCCCATCAACAGTGTACACAGTTTCCCTTTCTCCACACCCTTACCAGCATTTATCTTTTAATTTTTTATAATAGTCATTCTAATGGAGGTAACATGTTATCTTATTGTGCTTTTGATTTGTATTTTCCTGATGATTAATGATATCGAACATTTTGGATAAACCTGTTGGTCATTTGTATGTCTTCTTTTGAGAGATGTCTATTCAGCTCATTTGCCCATTCTTTAATCAGATTATTTGATTTTTTGCTGTTGAGTTGTTTGAGATCCTTGTATATTCTGGATATCAGTCCCTTATCAGATAAATCATTTGCAAATATTTTCTGCCATTCCACAGGCTGTTGCTTCACTGTTTTGAATGTTTCCTTTTCTGTATAGAAGCTTTTAGTTTGATAGAATCTAATTTGTCTATTTTTGCTTTGTTGCCTACACCTTCGAGCTCTTCTCCATAAAATCATTGGCCCAACCAATGTCCAAAAGTGTTTCCTATGTGTTTTCTTCAAATAGTTTCATAGTTTTGGGTCCTACGTTTGAGTGTTTAATCCATTTTGAGTTGATTTTTGTAGATGGTGAGAAATAAGGGTCTAATTTTATTTTCCTACATATAGATATCCAATTTTCCCAGACCCATTTATTGAAGAGACTTTCCCTCCCCCAGTGAATGTTCTTATTGCCTTTGTGAAAAATCAGTTAGCTATAAATATGTGGATGTGTTTCTGGATTCTCTGTTCTTTTCCATTGGTCTATGTGTCTGTTCTTATGCTCATACCATGCTCTTTTGGTTACTACTGCAGTTCAGTATTGTGATTCCTCCAGTTTTATCCTTTTTGCTCAGGATTGTTTTGGCTATTCTGGGTCTTTTGTGCTTTCATATGAATTGTAGGTTTGGTTTTTTTTTC